CTCTCCTTCCTGACTGCCCCCCCGGGACCCCTGCCCCCATTCAACACCCCCATTCCCCGCCCTCTGACAGCCCTGACCCCTATCCACACCCCCGCCCCCTGACCACCACCCCGAACTCCCCTGCCCTCTATCCAACGCCCCCTGCTCCCTGACCCTTTACCACACTGCCTGGAGCACCGGTGGCTGGCGGCGCTACAGCTGCGCCACCCAGAGCACCAGGACAGGCAGCCATGCCACTTGGCTGGAGCCAGCCAAGCCCCCGCGCAGCACAGAACACCAGATCACACAGTGCAGCTGCAGAGCCACGGCCTGGCAAGAGCTCACAGCCCCGCTACCCAGAGCATTGTGCTGGCAGCAGGGGAGGGGGAACAACAGGGGAGGAGCCGGGGGCTAGCCTCCCGGGCCAGGGTGTGGCCCGCCGTCCGGAGTTTGCCCACCTCTGGCTTACAGTCTCCTGCGCAAGCATTCTCAGGACTATTCATGGCCCAAATTGGCAATTCTAGCTTGCAGGTGCCTGAGACCGATGAGAAACTTGCAGTGGTTACCAGGAAATAAGTTACTTACGCAATGGCAGGCATGTAGAGAGCAAACTTTTCTAGAAACTGGGTTAGAGTGAGTGGCTCCGTGTAACTGATGTGCTGCAAGAGGTCTTCAACAGTGTCACCAGGGAGCGGAATTCCTCTTTTCCTAGAAATCAATACACATTTCACTGACAAGGATTTGGGTTATACCTTTATTTAGAAACATAATCCATACTGCTGAACCTGCTTTGAGTCTACAGCAAGGGCAAAAGATAGCTCAGTCTTTTAAAAAATGCCTCACATATATGCCTCAGGAGCCCTGGATAAGAGAGGAGACTGATCTCTAGCAAAAATGCAGCAACAACGGACCCAGAATTATCCATAGAAATTGAGCCAAAACAGAACCGCTCTTTTCCTGGTGCCTTGGTACTTCCTGGTCTTGAAAGCATAAATGACAAATTATCTCAAGAAAGCAATTTCCAACCCTAATTATATAGAATCAAGAGCTGCCAACAAACATTGGACTGCTTATCTGAACTGAGCCACAGAACCTCCTCAGGTTTGCCTGTTGCTAGTCTCCAAGAGCCAGTCAATCCTTGACCTTTCTGCGGAGGCTGCCAACAATAGAGAACAATTGTGATGTGGTTTCTCTGATGTGGAAATCTTTACACTGTGAACCAAGGCTGACACCCAACAAGCCCCTCCTCAGAGAAGCCACCAAAGAGCGTCCAGATAGGAAAGCCCATCCATTGCTACCAAAAGTGGGTGGTCTCTGAGCTTGTGGGCTGGAGGGGAAAGATTCCAGATCTCATTACCCAGGGCTTGGCCTTCTCCAGTTCCAGCAGCCAACTACATAAGCTATCTCCAGGAAAACAGCCTGACTGATATTGCTCCTCTGCTCAATGTACACACTCGTTTTATTGCTCTGTGGTGTAGGAAATCTATGCTATGTTCAGAGTTCAAAGGCAAAGGCAATTACTACAGATTACCCTGGCACTCAGCATGCGTCATTCATTACTGTTAAGTACAGGGTGACCAGACAGCAAGTGTGAAAAATCAGAACTGGGGCGGGGGGGACGGGGGGAGGGGAGGTAATAGGAGCCTATATAAGAAAAAGCCCCAAATATTGGGACTGTCTCTATAAAATCGGGACATCTGGTCACACTAGTTAAGTATTACTCTTTCCATGTTGCCCTTTCCACTCTGACGACACATTGTTTGTCCAATTTAAATGACAGACATCTCCATGCCATGCCCTACATTGAACACTGCCTTCCTGAGCCCATGAACAGGCCCTTATCCTATCCTCATTCAAATCCTTCCTGAAGGCCTATCTCTGTCTATGGTACACTTAACTACAGTGGGCTGGATGCAGGGTAATTTGGGATCATCTACACATATAAAGATATAAGACTTAGACGCACTAGACTGTATGGAAGTCAACGTATGCACCATAAAAGGTGGGTGAGTGCAGTCAAGCCTGGCAGAATTCAAACCTGTGCTTTTAGGGCGCCTAGGCAGGGATTGCAAACACAAGCTTTAGAGCACCAATGTAGAGTCTCTCTCATGTGTCACTACAACATTGCATTATTTGGATGTAGTCAAATTGAGTCAATCACCGCCCAGCAACTTTATTTATTTGCTGTTTGATCTGTACCAAGCAGTTTTCATGTCATGATCACAAGCAGCATTCTATGCTTGGGGCCAGATTTTCAAAGCAGACTCCTAGACTGGCCCCACAAAATGCCGCCTCTGCACAAAAACCAGCATGCGTTTTTGCTCTACCCTGAACTGAGCGCTATATGTTGGGAGTGGTAGTTTGTGTAGGCTCCAGCTTTACAGTAGGTATGAAAATAGCTCCAGTCACCTCCATTTTATACAAGCGTGGGGCAGCCCTGGGCTCCTGTCAAGTTGCAAGCACAGTTCCTTTAGGTGGGTGAAGTATGGACACTCCAGTCTACAAGAGTCAAAAGAATCCCCCAGGTAACCAAAGAACCCGATCACCCACATTGCCATAGGGAAGAAGAGCTCCAGGGAGTTAGATGTGTCAATGAATCCCTCACACATTAGGATACCTATCCATACACTGAAATCTTTAACCCACTCCTTTGCTCCTACGATATGTATAGATGGGTGAAATCAAGGGCAATTCTTACACAACATACCAAAGGGGCCTCCAGCAATTAATGAGCTGGATGTTCTTGATGCACCTTCTGAATATTTATCTTGGCTGCATCACAGAAACTATTGCCAATTCAGATGGCACCTTAGCCATGGCCTGAGAAGTAATTTTTTTCCCCCACACAAAATTATTTTATCAAATCCTCCAATCAATCCATCTTAGATGATGCCACATCTGTTCCATTTTTACTGGAAATTGCTTTCATGGCTAAAGCCCCCTCAACTATGTTGAAGTGTTATTTGTTGGGACATGGGAAAGAACCTGCAAAGGCTGGTTGTTAGAGTCAACCTTATCATGACATTCTTGATAAGAGGGATTTCTGCCATACTTTGGCAAACAATGCCAGATTTTGAATGTCCTTTACCTTTAAATGAAACTTCTTGCAGGTGTGAAAGTTTATGTTTATCTTGTTTAAAATTATAGAGCCAGGTCCTCAAGTTGTTAATTATTTACCTTGTCACTCATCAAGTGTATGTGTCAATTAACCAGAGTTTGCCTCCCCGACAGAGCCCATCTGCTCCTTCTTGCTAAAGCGAGCAATGAAGCCATAGCACTGAAGATTTTTCTTGGCAATGGGTTACATCTAGAGCGAGGCAACTTTTTTTGTGCAGAACCTTTTTTTTTCCTGCACAGAACCCTTTTTTCCCCACTCCAAAACAAAACAACAACAAAAACCCATAGAGTTGGGTCGAATTTGGTGTTTTGAAACTTTTTTTTCCTCCATCTTTTCTTCATTTTGGAATTTCCCTCAATTTTAAACAGATTTTAAAACTTTCAAAATCAAAACCAAACGTTATGGTTGACATGACGCAAACCTTTTTTCCCCAACATTTCAGTTTGGCAAAAATTTCAAAACATTTTTGTATCAGCTCAACCCAAAACAATTTTTTTCAGACATGCTCCTGAACTGAATATCCAATTATTCACACAGCCCTAATAATACCATCTGGTTTTGAGATGGCAAGACAGGACCAAACAGAAAATTTACACTCAGTGCTAAGAGAGAAAACCCCTGCTGAAAACACAAATACTAGCATTAGTATTGCAAGTACAACTGACCCAGCCAATTGCTTTCTGCAGACCAGGGATTGGCAGTCAACTACAAGGGACAACCGGTGGCAATGCTCATGCACCAGGGTTGTTTGCGCTTTGCAGAACTCTTGCAGTTATTAACGAGACAGAACACTGCATTGTTTCAATGGATATATTTAGAAATGGACTCATAACTCATTCTTTCTAAATCTGTTTTTAAGCCTGACCACAAAATCTGTTTCCTCATCTAACCTGCTCATGTTGTTGTCTATAACTCTGCTTGGTTTGTGGCTTGTGAGCATAAGGAGAGGGGCACTAGGTCACTGTTTGCTTACATATTTGACATCAATTCAATCCAGTTTCCCTACTATACTAGTAGAAAGTGGTCAGTTCTGTGCATCATGCACTCAGTCACAGTGCTGGTCTACACTCCGACTAGGACCACGCTCGTGACAGCCGTTCGTTGTTTGCACATTTCAAGCAGAGTTTCCCTGATGGGTATGGACAGAGAACTTTTTGCCTGAGAACTGGGTGGAGACATACAGCGATCTATAGGACAGTTTGGCTGGCAGGGCTCAGTAAAAAAAATCCTTATCTTTGTCAGATAAAACCATGTTAATGGAAAGTATCATAAACATAATCGTAACTAACACTGGTCTAATCAGCAAGGACCGGGCCAAATTCTAGGAAATTTCTTTTTTAAACAGAGGTGCCTCTGTCCAGGAAATCTTTACAAATCAAAGCACCCAGCTAAACACACTGAAGCAAATTGATTTTTTTTAAACAACTCACTTGCCAAAGTATAAGATTGTTTCTGGCTTAATGGCTCCATCCAGGTGAACATGAAGTTCTACCTGTAATTAAAAAAAAAGAAGACAAAGAACACACATTCATATAACTGTGAAAGTAATCTCTGGATCAGAAGATGCTACAAACAGCCAGTGTTGTGGAGTCACAAGATGGGAGCTAAAAGAGAAAACATAGAAAGCTACTCAATATAGAAAAGACATTTGATAAGTGTATGGTGTGTTTGGGTTTTTTTAATGTCTGAAAATTGACAGAATTGGATTCATTGTTCTTCCTGGAAGTCACATTTTTAACATTCCTTTACAAGCAAACTCTATTTCCAGGAACCTTAACACTGCTCAGGAAATTGTCCTACTCATATTTGGTCCCATAATGAGTCCCATAATGAGTTGGGGCGGGGAGGAGACTGTTTCTAACCTGCTCCATCTTGATATTAATAACCTCTTAAACCAGTGTCTTTAAGCCTTTCCAGACTACTGTACCCCTTTCAGGAGTATGATTTGTCTTGTATCCCCTCATGTTTCACCTCACTTAAAAACTACTTGCTTACAAAATCAGAAATAAAAATACAAAAAAGTGTCACAGCACACTATTACTGAAATATTGCTTACTTTCTCATTTTTACCATATAATTATAAAATAAATTAATTGGAATATAAATATTGTACTTACATATCAGTGTACAGTGTATATAGAGTAGTATAAATAAGTCATTGTATGACATTTTAGTTTGTACTGACTTCGTTAGTGCTTTTTATGTAACCTGTTGTGAAACTAGGCAAATAACTAGATGAGTTAATGTATCCCTTGGCAGACCTCTGTGCACCCCCAGGGGTACCTGTACTTGAGAACCACTGTCTTAAAGTCTGACTAATTCTGATTTCTGCTTGCTGAGAATGCCTTTCCATAAGCACCTCAGTTTCTCAACCAAAAGCTACTCTTGCTTTGATCATGTTTCAAAATGGTGTTTTAGTTTAGGCCCATTACACGTGAGAAAATAGCCCAAATCACCTTTAATTCTAAACCCCTGCTTGCCACATACTTTCAGAGCGAGAAATAATTTCTGCCAGGAGGAAGATCTCTTGGAAGATGAAAGACTGGTACCTTTTCAACACTTGGTGGATGTTGCAAATTATTTAGGAGAAAGCTGATAAACATGATTTGCAAAGCACAAAATTAAGAGGAAAAACCCTAATGATAAGATGTTTAAGCAATATTTTGTGTGTGCAAATACAATTGTTCTGGGAGCCCTGGGAGAGAATGAGACTTGCAAAGGAAAATGGGAAGAAGTTCTCAAGTTCATCACAATTATCAAGGAAGAACAGGATGAGATATTGTAATTAACTCCAGGCGTGTGGAGAGGAGAGAGGCACAGCTTACACCTTTCTTTATAATAACGGTTCAGAGTCAATATACCAGTGCTTGGAAGCAAATGTAAATGAAGACTCTTCTGCACCATGGGCCTCCCACAGAGGCTGTTTCCCATATCTCCTGGGATCATGTTCTCCAAAACTGACTTTTTGGAAAAAGTGAAAAGCATTGAACAGATTCATTTTATTGAAGTTGGTGCTACATTTACTAAGTCGTTAAGGGAAATTTCTCGTCTTGCAGACTTGCACTGATGGGAGCTGTGCACATAATTCTCTGCAATCTCAAGGAGAAAACGCCCCTCAGTTGTTTTTAAAATGTTATCCAAACCAAATGAATCATTTTAAAAAAAAAAATCACAACAGGCATTCAGCATGGAGATAAGTGAGGATAGTCATAGTATGAAGAGCACAAGACCTTGGTTTCTACATGTCAATTGTGTCCAGGTCTTTCTGACAACTGCATGGATTGCAATGTACCTACCTTGAAACAAACAAAGAGACTCTCCTATGAGTAGAGACTTAAGAGATCTGGGCTGTTCAGTTTAGAGAAAAGATGAATAAGTAGTGACTTAAGAAAGACCATTCAGACAGAGAAGACAAATGTTTGCTTGTTATTAATAGGAGAGATGAGGACATTCAAAGAAATTTTAAAGGCAATAAATTTAAGACTGAGGGAAAAAATGTAATGCAACACAAATGTAACCTGTTGAACTCACTGCTACATGATATTGAACTCAAGAACTTAATAGGATTCAGAAAAAGACTGAACATTTATGATAATGAGAATAACCACAGTTACATTAAATACTGTAAAAAAAGAAGAGGTATAAATCCTCTTGGCATCAGAGCATACACCAACCAATAACTGACAGGGGTTAGAAAGAAACTATCCCTACAGCCAGGTTATTCCTTAATTGTCCATTTCAGGGTTTCTTGTACCTTCCTCTGACAAAGTGGGTACTGAGCAAAGTAAAAAACAAGAACTGGACTACTGGTCCAATCTGATAATTCCTGGTACTCTGCATCAAAGTAGTGGGTTTTGGAGTTTGCTCTGCTCATGCCCATCCTGCTGTCTTTCAGGAGTTCCAAATTTGTGGGCCAGTCACTGAGAAAGAGGTGTCTCCTGCATATAGGGGTTGCCACCAGTCCAGGTTTTCCCAAGATTGTCCCTTTTTTGAAGTAGCTGTCCTGGGAAATCTCTAAGAGTGCTCGATATGCACTGCCAGCTGTCCAGTTTTGTGGGCTAAGGATCATCCCAGATGTCCCATTTTTTCCCACCTCAGAGGTGGCGACCCTATCTGCACATGAGTCTGCATTGGAATATGCCATTGCAACAAGCCATGGTCACATGGAGAGCTTTGAGTGAGACTAAAACCTGGAATTTGAGCCAGTATTACATCAAGTGCCAGGGCAGACAGCAAAATACTGGAATTATGGGCTTTTAGTGGCCCGAGTTGCTGGACAAACAGACTGCTCCATTCAAAACCAACTGCAGCTTTCAGTTATAATCATCAAGCCTAGATGTCATGGATATAAGATAACTGTGGCTAAGTACAAAGCATTATATCGCATGACCCTATACATACTTTATGACCTTGTGTAAGGGAAGGATAGAACTGCTCATCTTTAGCACTGCCCTCAGGATTACAGGCAATGCTTTTCTCTATGCCCCAATTTGCAAATCCCTGAATGGGACTGGATCTAGTTACATGAAACATCACTTCTCCAAAGACAGCTTTGATCCACTGTCGACCAGATGTCATGGTGACTGAAGTCCCCCATTAGAACCGGGGCCTGTGATCAGACAATTAGTTGTCCGAAGAAAGCCTCATCTACCTCATCCTTCTGACCCAGTGGTCTATAGCACACGCCTACCACATCACCCTTGTTGCTCTCACCTCTAAACTTAGTCCAAAGACTCTCAACAGGATTTTCTCCAGTTTCAAACTGGAGCTCTGAGCAATCATACCGCTCTCTTACATACAATGCAACTCCTCCACCTTTCCTCCCATACCTGTCCTTCCTGAACAGTTTATACCCATCCATGACAGTGCTCCAGTCATGTGAACTGCCCCACCGAGTTTCTGTTATTCCAATCACGTCATAGTTCCTTGATTGTGCCAGGACTTCCAATTCTTCCTGCTTGTTTCCCAGGCTTCTTGCATTCGTGTACATGCACCTAAGATAACTAGATGATTGCCCTACTTTATCAGTATTAATCAGGAGGCTTAGGTCACCATCCCCCAGAGAACCTAGTTTAAAGCCCTCCTCACTAGGTTAGCAAGCCTGCCTGCGAAGATGCTTTTCCCTCTCTTCATTAGGTGGATCCCATCTCTTCCTAGCAATCCTTCCCAGAACAACATCCCATGGTCGAAGAATCCAAAGCCCTCTCTCCGACACCACCTGCGTAACCACGCATTCACCTCTACAATTCGACGGTCTCTACCCGGGCCTTTTCCTTCAACAGGGAGGATGGACGAGAACATGACTTGCACCTCAAAGTCCTTTATCCTTCTTCCCAGAGCCACGTAGTCTGCAGTGATCCGCTCAAGGTCATTCTTGGCAGTATCATTGGTGCCCACGTGGAGAAGTAGGAAGGGGTAGCAGTCTGAGGTCTTCATCAGTCTTGGCAAACACTCCGTCACATCCTGGATTCTAGCTCCAGGCAAGCAGCACACTTCTCGAGTCTCCCGATCTGGTCGGCAGATGGATGACTCCACCCCCTTAGGAGGGAGTGTGACATTGTGCAGTCTATATGGTTTTATAAAAATATGATAAGTGAATATAATGTAACTGGGATATGCTTCATGCAAAAGGTCTCTTGTAAGGTATCATTACAAAGCTTATAATCTACTGAGTGTGATCATCCTATTTGTATGAATGTACCACTCTTGTATCTAAAACTAGAAATATAAAATATAACTCTGAAGGCCTATTGTAATTATGCAAAGTGTGGACCATTAATGGTGGTTTGGAATCTTGATGACTCCCATTAACCAGGACCATTGTCTACAGATGGCTCTGTTTTACCTGTGAGTCTTCCTGTATATGTGTGTGCTGGCAAGTGGGTAACGAAGTCTTGCAGTGACATGTGATCATGTCACCTGAACTGGAATCCATCTTTAACCTGGTGCTTTTCTAGTGAGGGGGGGTGGAAACCCAGAGGGACAAAGGGTTCCCGCCTTATGCAAAAGATATATAAAGGGGTGGAACAGAACAAAGAGAGAGAGAGAGAGAGAGAAGCCATCATGAAGAATCCCCTAGCTACCACCTGAGCTGGAACAAGAGC